AAAGCGGTGCTTGACCTCATTAAAAAGTGGGGGGTTGAATGCAAAGTGTAGTCACATGACAAAGGGTGGACTATCTTTCAATTCAAAAATGAAGAGGACCGCACCAAGGTTATCTCCGAGGGGCCTTACTCATCCTATGGTAAGGCTCTCTTTCTAAAGGTATTGTCCGAGGACTTTGAAGTTGATGGAGAAGAATTCCTAAAGGTTCCCATTTGGGTAAAATTACCCGGGCTCTCGGTTACATTGTGGAATAAAGAGGAGATAAGCGAACTTGCTTCACGTGTTGGTGTGCCAATTGTTGCGGACCAGGTCACTCTCAACAAAGCGAGGGCCAATTTCGCTAGGGTACTTGTGGAGGTTGTTGGGAATATTTTATGGTGTTCAATCTAGTTAGTTATCTTTGTATTTATGTAGTTATTAATTAAAAGTGTAATACGGGCCACAAATGTGTATCAGCCCGTGGGCTTCCTTGTAACCCGTAAGTTAGCCAACTTCTCCTATAAAAGGAGGCTAACTTACGGGAACCCTAACTAATCGAGACAGGCTTAGAGACGCAGAGGCGTAGAGATAGAGAGAAATTAGGTTGCCGCTGCTCTCCTTGTCCAGGGAGAGTAGCGGCAGGTTCATACGGTATACCAGATTCACGTTCAATCTTATCAATTTCTTTCTATCTGCTTCTTTATCACTGTTATGATTGTATGATTGTTAGAATTCTGGGATTAACATTTGGTATCAGAGCTTGTTGAGCACTTGCTTTCGGGGATCGCAGCATCACCCTTTATTTCATCTCCCTCCACACTTGCCATAAGAGCATAGTTGTCTTCCTCTTCCTCCTCCTCAGAAGAATCTTCTGCCCAGTTCTCATTTTCAGCAATCATGGCAGAGGTTTCTTCTTCTTTCTGCACCATCAGCATTTTCTGCTTATTCCACAGCATCTTCTGCTTGTAGAAATTAGCATCTTTCTTCTTTGGGAGGCGGCAGTCTTTGATCACATGTCCAGGCTTGCCGCAATTATAGCATTTAGGAGCTTCTTCTGCTGAAGGTGCCTTCCTAGAAGATCCTTGATCATGGTTCTTCTGCTTGTAGTTTGAGGAGGAAGTTCTCAGCCTGTTGGAGTAGGTGTTCTTCTTAGCAAATCTTTTGGCCAGCAGTGCCATCTTCTTATGTAAGTCAGCTAGCTCAGCCTCTAGATCAGATTTGTCATCATCACTCTCATCATCATCTGATTCAACCACCACCTTCTTCTTTTTCTCCTTTAGTGAAGTGGTTGTTCTTCTTGGCTGAGCATCCATTACAAGAGCTAAGGGGTTAGTGGTGTGATGATCCTCAGCACAGGCGACCTCGTTAACGAATTGCTTCAGATGTTCATAGAGTGTGCAGAGGTCAATTTCGTCCAAATCTATCCGAGATCTAACATCCTTCACTGTCTTTTCCCATGCAGGATGCAGGCTGGATAAAAATCTAATATTCAGTTCCAGATTGGACCTGAATACTTTGATCTTTCTGAGTTCATTTACCAGTTGAACAAGTCTGTTGTAAGTCTCATTCAATGGTTCTCCTGGACCTGCTTTGAAGGAGTCATAAGCGATGAGAATCGTAGTCTTCTTTGTTTTGAGGCTGATGCTTGTGCCTTGTAGCAGCTTCTCTATTTCATCCCACATTTCCTTAGCTGTCTGCATGCTATCTATGAGAACATAAACCTCATTTGGTATTGCTTGAAGGAGGTACGTTTTGGCCATAAGATCACCACGAAGTCTGAGCTTGTCAGCTTCTGTGTATTCAGACGGCACTTTTCTCCTTATTTCTGGAAAAATAGGAGGATTGTTCTCTGGATCTCCACCAACTGAAATCAAGAGTTCAGCTGGTCCTTCAAGCAAAGATTCGAGCATTGCAGAAGAGTTCTCTTTGTGCTCAAGGAAGTTTAGAAATATGTTCCTCCACATTTGATATTCTCCCTTCCTGAGGCTAGGAGGGGTACTGTTGTTCCCTTGTGCATTGTATTCTGAACCCATTGCTGTACTAAACTGACCGTTCGAGAAAATTGATCAAAAGATTTTCAGAGGCAGAATCTCGAAAAATCAGATGTCGAGATCTGAATATCGAAATCTCAGATTTCGATAAAGGAGGTCCGGTATCGAGATTTGTGCTCGAGATTAAGGATCTCGAGATTAGGGATCTCGAGATTTCAAATTTCGAGATGCTGATCTCGAGATTTGAAATGTCGAGAAGTTAATCTCTCGAAATCTTAATCTGATAAGTCAAATGTCGAGACCAGATGTCGAATCCTTTTCTCGAAATTAAGATTTCGAAATCCTAGATGTCGAAATCCTCAATGTCGAAATCCTGCAACCTGTAAAAATCAGATAACCAAAATCTGAAGATAGTTTCCTGTAGAGTTGAATGTCGAGATCTTCTGGTAAAGTTTTCAGCTCGAAAAACGTAGCAGAACCTGTGAAGAAGTAGGATGTCGAGATGCCTAGCTCGAGATATCTCGAAATTTAAAATTGCGTAAAACACAAACTGAAGTATACCCTTTGATCGCTTTGAAAAGGCGATTCCAAAGGTGTAACTTTTACAACTTTTGAACAAGAAACAAAATTACAGAGCAAAAAATCGACAGAATGAACTTCGTTAACAAAAACAGAGTATTCTGCAGGAGTTCTTCTGATCGTTCTCGATCGGCTCTGATACCAATTGTTAGTCCCTGTTTCTGTAACAGCAATGAATAATCGATCTAACAAGGAAGATTAAACGTAAAGATGAACACAGAATGAATCACCGTAAAACCTTCTTTGATAAACCGTGGAACGTACAGCAGAATGATAAGCGTAAGGCTATGAATAATAAGTACGACGTTCAGCCTTTTCCTAAACCTCGGCTCTCTTTTTATAGGCGAGGTTTAGGTTAGGTGTACCAGGCTTTTGGCCTGTTTAAATGGGCCTAACACTTGGCCTGATTTCTATCTAATTTATGCACTATTTAAATACAAGGATTAAATATAAAGCTAATCTATGACCAACTTGATTCACAATTAAATATCTCCAACACTACCGTTTCATTGAAGTGAAACAAACCTCCACTCCTCCAGGCGCCTCTTGGTCTTCATCTCAATTTGTTTTTTATCTTTTTTGTGCTTGAATGTTTGTATGTTTGCTCTGTTTTTTAATCCTTCGAATGCTGACTTTTGTTAATTGTTGATAAATGTAGTAGATAAATATGAATCGGTATATTTTGTGCTAATAATTAATCATTTGTTTAAGTACTTGTGGTAATACATTTTTATTATTTTAAATCATAAAAAACGGTTTAACCGTTTAAGTACTTGTACTGGTTATATTGATAATTTATTAATTGACGTCCTTAAAGGTCATTTAACATGTTATCAGCTGATAGTAAACAGTCATTTAACCAAACATCATTTTAGAAACTGCTAATCCTATCAACTAATCAAAACAGCCAACAGAATCTGCTGCCATCAATCAGCTAACATAATCAGCTAACAGCCAACGACCAACAGTCAATTGCCAAACACCCCCTTAATGTCATAATGACCGACTAGTTATAATGTTCTTATTGTCATGCCCATAACATGGATGATCCTTGTAAAAAATGTCACAAAATTATTAATGACAAAGTTTTCTTCTCAAAGCACCAGTGGTTATGACCTTGTGCTATGCATAACAAAATTGTGCCAATGCGTTGTTTGTTATAGTGTCGATTTGGTATATAGAGCTGGCCATGAGGGGAGTTCACTCAGGCAATTGTCTAGGGCCTTGGATTCCACGGGGGCGTCAAATACAAGAGTAATACGGAGTATTAGATATTATTGTTAATTGAATGGTTTGCAAGCTAAAAATTGGGAGTAAAAATGTAATTACATGGCCAAAACTCTCGATCAATTACAATTCACAGAAATTCCCAAAAACGGCCTTCCAAAAGCTAACTGCACCTTGTCAACTTGCCGGAAGATGAAGGATTGTTGTGGAACTTAAATAGGAGCTTTATCTTTTTGGCTTAAGGTTAATTCAGAGTTTTCGTTTTGTTTGAGAGAGATTCACAATTGAAGTCAAATTACTTAACTAAAAGAAACTACTACTTGTATGATAAATAGTTATACCCGTAATAAAGTAATCCGCATAATGTAATTTTAGCAGCCCACTCGAAAATAATTGAAGTAAATTTTTAACTAATACGTACTATGAAATAAAAAACTAATGTGTATTATGATTGTAGTACTTATATGAAATAATGACAATATATATGGTAAAATGGATAAAAAATACTACATCCGTCCCAATTTTTTTGTCATTTTCAAAACTTTGACCAATTATATATGTACTTTTATTGGAAATTATTTATAATATAAAAACTATATGAAATTGTTCTTTATTAAAAGTACTATCAAAAAAGTAAAATTTATAATTTTCATAACATTATACTAATCAAAATCATGGTTCAAAGTTTATGAAATGACAAAAAATTGGGACATAGGTAGTATGTCTTTTTATACTTTAATGATCGATTGTAATAGTACTAATTTGAGTGACTGTGATTAATTTCATTCAACACTACAGTGGCTATACTAGTATAATTTTAGTAATATTTTTGTCTATAAATTACTCTGTACATTTCAATAATACTTGAATAAATTTTTAGTACTTTTTTAGTTTGATTTTTTATTTTCACAAACAGTACGTGTATCATAACTGTTTCTTTCTTTCAAAAAAATATAACTTCTTCTTAACTATAGTGTTCTAGAAATATACTATATATCGCCATCCCATTAACATTGGGACATGAAGTGGTGTCACGATTATTTAAAAAGTGAGTTTATGTGGTTGATATTAAATTGATAAAGTAAGAATAAAGTAAAAATGATTTAGAGCCACACAAAGTTTACCACATTTGGTATGAGACAATCTTAGTGGGAATTCCCAAAAAGAAGAAATGGGAAAATCTTAACGGGACAAAGGGAGTATTAATATAATGTGTCAATATTAATTATTTTTGTCTGGGGCCTCCACTTTCCTAAGGCCGGCCCTGTTATACATTTTAGTCTATCTTTAATGATTCCTTTTAGTATGTTATTTTCTAATTTGATCTTGGGGTGAGTGAATAGATCTTAAATGTTGAGTACTTTCCATAAAGCCAATAAACCTTGTGTCATATTTGTGGAAAAAACAAATGATAAGTGAGCTAAAATAATGTATAAAAGAATCAAAATAAATTGAGAAACATGTTGGTCCACCATATGAAAATCGTAAGATATAAGGTGAATATATACATGAGAGACTAAACATGTGAATTAGTGATATTTAATCTTATATTGTCCTCTAATCCTCCTCTCTTCCCTAAGTTAACCCTACACTTTTTTTTTACCATAATTATCCATCATTTACATGACTTCTGATGAGTTTCTTTTTTTATCTATCCCTAAATTTCATACATATAGTTCACTTTTTCTTAAAGTCAAGTTTGCATGTTGAATTAAGATGGAGGTAGTATAAAGTTTCTTTTGCAAAATGTCAAGAGGTCTATAAATAGGTGATAAAAAAAGTTACATGCAACGTGGAGGATGTTTCGCGGCAACCCAACTCCTCACATCACACGGCACACTGTGTTGTTCGTAATTCACATTGCTATTCTACTTTGTTTCATAGCCACTGACCTCTTCCATGTTTTAATCATATATATGAACGAACTTGAGATCCATCCCCGACCTAAATTACATATCTAACACTAACCATCTTAGTAAGTTAGTATGTGATAAATTTTTCATAAAGCAAATTGTGGTATACAAAAAGGAAGCAATTCAACGTTAGCAAATACTAGGGCACCTCAAAGTTGGAGGCAATTTGGGTTTTTGTGGATGCGATTTGGATAGCTACTTCAATCAGATTTGCCACAAAGTTATGCTTCAAATAATACAAGTAAGTGAGGTTGATTCATAACCACTTGTCCTCATTCCCAATCTTGTTGTGACTCGAATCAGACTTATTACTCTTTGCAACAACTATTCACTGCACACCTCACCCCATTTAAGGTATAACTAGATTTTAACTAGATTCAAAATCTAATTAAAAGATATCACATATTTGCTTACATTAACGATAACATGAAAATTTCATAAAATTTAAATAACAAAGAGTTATAATTAACATGGAAGAACATGAGTTAATGCTTGCAATGTTTTGGAAGCACGAGAAATGTAAGCATTATAAAAATTTTAATTTTATTTTTCGTTTTATGTCTTCTGCTTTTGCTCTCTCAGATCTCACCAGCTAAGATCTGACTCCCTTAGATGATGAAATGAATCCTCTTCCTCCTATTCATTTTCTTCTCCTCGAACCCCTTTCTCTACTTATCTTCGGCATTTTTCATTATTTTCGGTTGACTTAGTATCATCATCAATAACACTATTATGTCTCCTTCCTAATCAAACTTTCTGTGATTGTGTTATCATCGGATTTTGATTTTTGGATTTTGTGTATGAAGGATTGCTTTGAGACTACAATGTTACCGGTTATATTAGAGTTGAGAAACTAATTATTGCAATAATTCAATTAATTTGGTAGATCAAAAATTTATAACACGTCCGTCCCAAAGAATTTTGACACCTTTCTTTGGTTACTCATTCAAAAAAACTATAATTTCCATTTTTAAGTAATAAATATATGGTTAAATTAATAGAAAAACAACTTTAAAATAAGAAGAAAGATAAAATAGACTATTTAGAGTGAGCTAAGCCAGTAAATGAGTGTGCTAATTTCTCACCAGGTGTCCTTTCCTTCATCGCCGAGAACGTGTTGTCCAATTTTCTTTTCCAAACGAGGGTTTGAATCTTAGTGATAGTTTCCTTAAGCATGAAGGATGAGGGATTGGTTCTGACAAATTTCACATCAAGTACCATTTATTTGACCTACTGGGTTCTTTTGCATTAGCTTTAGTTATGTTAACTTCCAACATAATGCCGAATTTGACCCATGATTATGACGATTTTGAGTGAGAAATTTAGCAGATTTTTCATGCCTTCTAGACATACTCATATTTTCATTCTTCTATGATATGTTAATGTTGTTAATTATGTTGCTCTCATTTGGCTAATTAACTATTCATGCAGATTCATTTTTACGTGAGTTGAACTCCTTTTGCTACACATGCGGATTCATCAATTGTGCATATTTATAAATTTTATTCGTTTATCTTTTGATTGAAATTTAACTCTTAAGTTTCCTTCAATTACTTGTTCAAAAAAAAGTTTCCTTCAATTGTGAATTGGCCTATATTCTAGTGAAAAAACGTTATTGTCGAGGCTTTGAGTGACGACTTTATGGGAATAAAAACAAGTAGCCTGTATAACAGCTTGCTGTGCAAAAGATTTGTGGTGTAAATTTGTGGTGTAAATTTGTGAGATATTACCCGAAATAGGACTAAAACACTTTGAAAATTCCAAAATAGGATTTTCATGTTTTTATTTCCAAAATAGGACTAATTACTGTCATGTTTTGGCAGTACCAGACTTCAAACATGTCAGTATTTTCTAAACATGGCAGTAATTAGTCATATTTTGGAAATAAAAAATATGACAGTCTTATTTTGGAATTTTGAAACTATTTTACTCCTATTTCGGGAACTTTCCCTAATTTTATTTATCAAATTTTATCTTTCTGTGCCTTGCCCAAAATTTTATTTATTATTTATTACTCCTAAGTATAGGTTTAAATAAAATTCATAGCCTTGCCCAAAATTAATATGCGGCCCAAGCCTACTAACTGAAGTTCCACGCTTGACACTTCCTAGTTCCCACCTGCGAACTAACAAAGCGGAAGCGACGAAGACACGAACGCCCCCCAGAGTCTGCCCGACCATCCGTAGACTGTCCAGCTGCCCAGCCGATCTGCGCCGCCTTCCAGGGTCCTGCGTTGGCCGTCGGCATCCCTGCGAGGTTGCGACCTGCGTTGGCGCTTTGCTGCCTCCTGGCCTGCACAGCGAGCACTCCTGTGTAGCCTCCAGCCTCTACTTCTCTTTGACTGACCGGCTCTCCCAATCCAGCCTGCCTCCAGCCCTCCAGGAGTGCAGCTGTCCAGGTATTACTCTCTTAATCTATTACGTTGTCTATTATTGGAGTATTTTTTTTTAGTTTTTGAATTCGATTGTTAATTGAATTTTTTAGTAGGTAATATAACGGTGTTTATTCATTAGAATGATTAAAGATATTATCAATTTAGTACATGTCTTAATTCTATCGATTTAAAATGTACTACCTTAATTCATAATCGTAGTCCTTTTAATTTTACTACATTATAATTTCATACAGAATTGGAAATTAGAGAATAGTTTCATATACAATGAAATGAATATTTACCTAGTACAAAATGGAGTTTGAGTTTGGTTTGTTAGATTTTTTGTGTTCGATTCGAATGCTCGATAAGCTCGATCGAATGCAGAAGTTTAGACTATGCTCATTAATAGATTGGTGTTGAATTATTCGATAAATACTCTAATCCTTAATAATCATTAATAGATTTATAAAATTGCACTAAAATGTTTAAATTTTAAGATATACTCCCTCCGTCCCCAAAACAACTTCCCACTTTCCTTAAATGGATGTCCCAAAATTAACTTCACACATCTTTCCACTTCCTTATTTGGCAAATTATCAACATCAAAACAGTGTCAAACGGTACGAAACAGTGTCCAAACAGTAAAATTTTGGGAAAGTCAAACCGAAATTTTAATCTACCTAAATGTGTGTGCTAGTCAAACTGTGAAGTTGTTTTTGGGACGGGGGTATATCTAAATTATTTCAGTAATTCATAAGTGACCAATAAGACCGAGTCCGGACTGAACCGAACATTAGTATGCTCAAAGTCTCGAACTGATAGAAACAATGATCGAAAGAGGGAAATTGATGTCGATTAAGAACGTAAATGAAGAAACTGAAAGGAAACGATACAAGATCAACCTGTCTCTCCTAAAATCCCAGCCCAAGTCCCAAGTTCTGCCTACCCTTTGCCTTGACCTGCTCATTATTATAATACTCTCCTAATGGGCCAGCCCACTGGTATTTAGTTAAAGGGCCTAAACCCCTTTTATACAATATTAAAAGACTTAATATTATTCTTGTTACTAGTACTGTCTAGGCCCCTCTATCATTACCCCCCTTTGACAACCACCTTGCCATTCAGCTTCATCCTCCCGCCTCTCCCTTTCCGGCACTTCAGGTCAGATAGTTTTCTTCATTTTGGTATCCTCTCAATCTCCTTGTCAACATTTGATCCTTTTTGCCAAGGTTTTTATCTCCTTCAGCACCCCATGTCTGATCTCCTATAGAATCTCCATTTGAGGAAACAATGTCAGCTTCCGTACTGTAAGTCTCACTCTTCACATAAACAACCAAGGAAGGTAAGAAAGAACTCGGCACACTGCCACCTGGGGAACTCCATGTGCACAATCCTTCTTCACCAAACTCATCAGTTAGAAACTTAGAATCTTTCGCAATAACAAACCTCCATCACCCATTCACCCACCATCTGGCCAATAGCTGCTCGCATACAATCTTGTTTAGTACTCCGACCATAACAATCTGCATCTCCAATGAATAGAACACCTTGTTCATTGCGCTGTTCATAAGCTTGCCACTGCAAGGCATAAAGGTCGCATTCAGAAATGGTGTGTTCATAAGCTTGCCACTACAAGGCATAAAGGTCGCATTCAGAAATGGTGTGTCATTTGTGAGCACAACAGCGCAAAAGAGTAACTGGATGCCTTCTATCTCCAGGTAATAGTTTCACATATAAGTTGCATAAGGAAATATCTCCCGCCACGTAGCCAACTGTAACAATTGATCCAACCATTGGAACTTGCACCTTTAGTAGCTCCAGGAGCAGCTTGCCCCAGATTCAGCAAAACTGTTGCAAATGTGAATGCTTGATTTATATAAACTTCCACTAAGGTGAGTCGTGTCATCTTCTGACTCTGGCTCCTGGAGTTGCGGTGCAGCTATCTTCAATTCAGTGTTCGTTGTAAGGGATGAAGTCTGCGAACTAGGAAAATCTGTTCGCGGCGAAGGAGGCGGACGGGAATAAGCTACTTGAGATTGAGACGAAACCAGCGAGCAAGGAGAAATGTTTTGCGATGGTGAACTAGGAAGAGCCGTTCGTGACTGCGAACTGAAGACTTCTGCATGCGAGGAAGATGGCGTATCTGGAGAAACGACTTGTGTCGAATTCTGCGAACAAGGGAACTCTGCTCGCGATAACAATCCTTGCTTTTCAGATTCCCAGTGACGCCTAGGGTTCCTGGATCGGCCTTTAGGTCTCCGGCGACCTTGGTGGAGTATGACCTGGTGCAACTCATCCACACTCGATTGCATCCCCTCCACATTCGATCGTATCTTCTCCACTTTCCGATTCCATGTTGTTCATTTTTGTTCCACATTATCCATCTGGTTTTCCATCTGCGCACGCGTAAAACTCCTTCTCGAGTAACACGGACACTCCTAGTGCTCTGATACCAAATCATGATCGAAAGAGGGAAATTGATGTGTATTAAGAACGCAAATGAAGAAACTGGAAGGAAACGATACAAGATTAGCCTATCTCTCCTAAAATCCCAGCCCATTATTATAATACTCTCCTATTATAATGCTCTCCTATTGGGCCAGCCCACTGCTATTTAGTTAAAGGGCCTAAACCCTTTTTATACAATATTAAAAGACTTAATAGTATTCTTATTACTAGTACTGTCTAGGCCTCTATCACGATCTCGGCTTGAATAACTATTTGAACTCAAAATCTAGCTTGCATTTGAGTTTGAAGCTCGTTAAGCTCGGGTTGCTAATTTAGATTCTAAATCAAGATCAAACTCGTGTAGTTTAAAAAAAGCTCGGTTCAATAACAGCCCTAAACTAAACCTTATGTGTGTAGTAACAATTGTTTTTACTGCTTAGCCCACCTCACCTCTCATTCCTAGACCCGCCCCTGCTTTCAAAGTATGAGTACTTTGTACCATGTAAGTAATGTCTTTACACATCTTTTTCCATTAGGATTCAAAATTTCACCTTTTACTGCATTTTAGGGAATTATTATTATTATTGGATTTAGGGCTTTAGTCCAGCAATTAGAGACCTGGACAGCAGCACCGCGCCACCGCCAGGCAGTGCAGGATCCGGACACAGCAAAACGGTAGAGCAGCTTCAATTGTAGGATGTGCTTTTGGGCATTTGCCACTTTGACTTTTAGTTACTTTTAATACTCAGTCTCAACAAATAGTAAGTTGGCCTGATTCAGTATTTTACCCAAGGATTCTGCCGATACTCGACATTCGCCTATCCTCATCCTCTATCCGACTATCGTGGCTGATCTCCTTGTCGCCACCCATATGTAATTGCCGAAAGACTGAAATCCATTTTTCTCCGATAAGGTAATAATCTAGTTCTCTTTTTAATTAATCTTCTGATCGTCACACTATTTTCTGGTATGTAAACTAGAGTCCTTCTGGGTTAAGCATGATGGCCGGATTTGTGGAGGATAGATGTTTTTAAATCTCTTAGCAATTCTAGAACGTTGATAATTTTTTACCAAATCAGAAAGTTCAAAATCGGTTGAGTTTATGAATCTCTGTTTTATATATGAAGTACTGAGTAACCAATCTAGATTGTAAAAGTATAATTCATCTGGCTATGAAGTAATGTGTTTGTGTGTGTGTAACATAAGACCTTCCTTAGTAACATTAGAACAAAGCCGTAGCAAGGTTCCTTTCTATATTGATATGGTGACAGTTCTTAGGCAGCTGGTGTGGGTAATTGTGACGAAAAATCTTGGATTTTAAATAGGCAGGTTTCCTTTTTAAATGGGCAAGCTTGAGCACATCAGCATTTCAATGTTTATGTCTATATGATATTGGATTTTGTTTGAACTCTAACTCTTATTATTAGTCTAATTAAAAAGTGATCTGATGTGTCCGTTCTCTTTATTTTTTTGAGTTGCGTGGTGCCAAATATTTAGTCTTCTGGATATCTTTTTTACATTAATTTCCACTACCAGTCTGCAAACATATTATATATACAGGCCAATTACTATTACTAATTTACTTTATATTTAATTTTCCTTAAAAATCACTCTGTTTTGGCATTTATTTTTCAATTTTAGTTTTGGACAGTGATTTAGTAATGTCATGATTTCAGTCGCTGGCTTAGATGTTTTAGACTTAGTATATTTTGTAACTGTTGTCTTTTCGATATATTAATTCTTTTGTTTAGTATAAATCTCATTAGTAATTTAGTATAATAGAAATTGCTGTAAATAGGACTGAAATTTAGACAAAATGCACAAATAGGACTACATGTATTTTATTGCCGAAACAGGACTTATTGGATCCTATTAAAAGTGTAAAACTTCCCTTATTAGGAGTGAATAAGTCTTATTTTAGGAAGAAAACAATTATAGTCCTATATGTGCACTTTATTTATGTTTTAGTCCTATACTCCTATATAAGAAAATTTCTATTAGTATAATTATTCCTCAAAACACAAATAGAAGTTTTATTTCAACTTTCCAGATTTGAAACACATTTTAGTTGTTTTTATCATCTGCTAAAAAACGATATTTGTTCACCTCTGGTAATCCATATGGTGACTTCTTTTTCCTTTTATCAATATTCGTTGCGCATTTATCTTCTACACTCCTACCTGTTTTTATCGAATTTATCATGCTTAGTTATTCATTCTATTTTCCATTAATTTTATTTATAGGGATTTGAGAATACTCCCTATTGTGACAGCCATATGTCTCATTAGATTGGGAATTCTAGAGTTCTATTGCACAACTTTCAGTTGACTGAATATGGGAGGTTGTCGGGTCTGCAAGAATTGTGGAGCTAGAGGGGAGTCCATTGTTACAGATTATGAAACTGGCGATATAGTTTGCACATCATGTGATGTTGTTCAAGACTTTGAGCAATTTCAGGCCCATATTGGAGGCATTAATGGGCCTGTTGGAACCTATGTTCGTGTTGGTACATCAGGTATTGGAAACAATTACAGTTACAGAGAGACCAAAATTTATGAAGCAAAAAAGGTGATTGATGATTTGATGTACAAGTTTGGGTTATCAGAAACCAAAACTAATGAGGTTAACCTTATGGTTAGGAAAATCACCGAGGAGGAATACGGCAACGGGAGATGGTTTTCCGTGTTGGTCGGCGCGTGCTCTTATGTTGTCATGAGGAAGGATTCCAAGGTCTTGACAATGGAGGAAGTCGGAAAATCAGTCGAGTGTGACATTTTCGAGATGGGTAGGATGGTTAAACGCGTTGTTGACTTTCTAGACCTTGAACTGCCCGAGTTCAACCTCGTCAATTGCTTTGAACTTGCGCTTACTAATTCTCCTAGCTTCAGCGAGGTTTCTGAGGATACGATCTCAAGGATGTTGAAGCAAGGGACATTTTTGGTACAATGTTTGATCAATTGGTCCGTGACAACTGGGCGACGACCAATGCCAATTGTTGCGGCTGTGTTGGTGTTCGTCTCAGAGCTAAACCAAACCCCGATAAAAATTGATGATGTGGCGAACGAGTTAGACGTGGTGCTCCATACTTGCAAGTTACGGTATAAAGAACTTCTGGAGAGGCTTGTTAAGGTTGCTAAAACGGGCTTGCCCTGGGGGAAGGATGTGAATATGAAAAATATAATGACAAATGCTCCATCTGTGATTCAATACCTCGAGTTGAAGTCAATGTCAAACCACAATAAGGACGGAAATCATTCCAAATGCGGAGATGTTTATGATTTTAATAACTTGCTTAATGATTGCTTAAGTGAAGAAAAATTCTATGGTTATGACGATAATGTCCCTGAAAAAGATTCCCAGTATTTTCGAGCTGGAAATGTTGAGATTCAAGAAACATCCCTCCTTTCTTCTGATTCATTGTCTATAATTCATTCGGAACTAAAGAATGCGGCGTCTGTAGCTATGGTGGGCCAACATGCAAGTGTGGGGAAAAGGGCGAGAGAATATGACATTCTTACTTTAAGGGACTGGTGGAAGGGGGACTCTGAACTTAGCAGAAAGCTCCTTTTTGAGGAAATATTGGAAAAGAACTTAGGATTAGATGCCACACCGCCTTCATTTGATAAGGGCTGTTTGGTGTATGAAAGGAGAAAAGAGAAGATAAAAGATGCTAAGTTAAGGATTCGTAGGACTATGTATGGTCCTTCAACGGTAGATGATCAAAATGATGTTTCTGATATAGTGATTGGTAAAAAATGGAAGAAGAGAAAGAGGGAAATGGGATCTGATTTAGATTGGGAAGATTTCATCATTGAAACTCTTCTCCTTCATAAGGTTAGAGAAGAAGAGATTGAGACAGGGCATTACAAAGCTTTGCTGGGATTGCATGTATTCAATGGCGCAAGCTGACGATTTTAACTCATCATGTAAGTCTCAGTGTATGTACAGATGTATATTTATTAAACAATATGAAGTTTGAATCACGTATGTAGATAAAAGCACAACTTTTAAAAAAGGCTCCAGTTTGATTGAACTAACAATAACGTATCATTTTAATTTCCAAAAGGTTTAGTTATATATGATAAATATAGTCAATCCAACAAACTGAAGTTATTCAATAAAAAATAGAAGTCGTGCATTGGTCAAACTTGACACTCTTGTGGGATAAAGGTAGTATATAGGTTATGTAAATTAATACGTAGTATAATTTTTCATATTTCAGTTTCTTTTCTGCCATCTAAATGTAAGGGTATTAATTAATGAAATATATATCACACCTCTATAATTCCACAAACCTTTTATCTTATGATATTTGTCTTTTAATTAATTCAGGTTGTTGTAGATGGATAACTTTTAGCTATCATGATTTAACGAAAACCTATTTCATGATTTAATATTACTATAGAAAAAGTTTGTAGCTATAGCTGTGATACGCCACTGTGTTAGTATTATTTTTTATTCTGTAATAGGTGGCAACAATTACCCAATATTGAGTAATGTCATACTGATTTACACCCTCTCCCATCGTGGTTTTTTTTTTTCATTGTGATCCTTCTCAAGGATGGATCCGCTTAGAGAACTAAAGTGAACTGGTGAGACAGGTGAGTGTTTGCTTTTGAAGTCACCGGCTTTCTGGTGTTAGATCTGAATAAGTATCAGAAACTAGTCTAAAATTTTTCTGGTTCCTCTTTGAAAACGGTTGGTTTGGTTCTAGTCATATTTGCACATGTTTGTGTGACTAAGAGCCCGTTTGGTGACCTCGTATTCGGCTTATTTGTCAACATTTTCATCAAACACGTAATTTTTTATTTTGTGCGTTAATCTAAATAAGTAAGGTTGAAGCTACATTTCTGGTTGAAGTTACTCTAGAGTGTCATTTTAGCTGTATTTTCATTTAATTTTTCTTTATTTTATTAATATAATATATTTTAAATATATTCGTTCATAAATTGAAAGAATCAGTCGATCTAGTCACTTCAATCGAAATTTATTATAAATTTAAGAAGAATTGGTGAATTCAGCCAATTTCAATGTTACCGATGAGATTTTTTTATGACTTGGACCATAATTTCAAACAAATAATTATGAGTTAGTCCATCTTATTAAGGATTTAAGCTTAGGACAGCTTCAGATGGTGACAATGACTCATGACGCCTGTCCTATACATCAATGAAGCGAAACACAAACAATTAAGGGAACGAAATCATTTTCCTCCCCATTGAAATTTATGTTGGATGAAAACAGAAAAAGGGGAAAGAGCATTTACTCTTGTCCACATGGTTGAGTATTTGGTGGTCACATATCACAAGAGTAATCTCATGAAGTTATAAGCAAAAAGGAAAAAATGTTGTTCGCCATAAACATTACTCCGTATTTGATAAGAAATTGTCCTTAAAAGATGTAAAAAGGGATTAAATTCACATCTCCATTTTGTTATTTTATTTCATAAAATATACTCCCTCCGTCCCCTTTTAAATGTCCCGGAAGAGGGTGACACGAGTTTTAAGAAAAGTAGGTTTGTGTGGTTGATATTAATAGATAAAGTAAGAATAAAGTAAGAATAAAGTAAGAATGATTTTGAGCCACACAAACTTTACCAAGTAAGGTATAAGATAATTAAATAGGGACATCCCAATATGATAAAATGGGACATTTAAAAGGGGACGGAGGGAGTAATTATTTAAACAAAAAACGTCATTTTGGAAAATATACATAGAGCCCGTTTGACGACTGCTTTTCGGCTTATCAGACTTATTAATCAATTTTTTAACCAAGCATGTAACTTTCGATTTCAAGTGCTGAATTGTGTGATAATAAGAAAAAATAAGATTGCAGTTACTTTTTAGCTGTATTAGCTGAAATTACTGTAGATGACCATTTAACCTATTCTTTCATATAATTTTTTATTTATTTTACTAATACAATATATTTCAAATATAATTTTTTCATAAATCAGCAGAATCAACCAATATAACAATTTCAGCCAGAACTTGATAAGTTTCAGAAAAATAAGCCGATTCAGCCGATTTCAATTTTACTAAACATGCTCATAGTTTTTCACACAAATTTACGCATAAAAAGCAAACTTTTACTACCTCCGTTCCCATTTTAACTTCCAAATGGGTTTGACACAAAGTTTAAGATAGTGAATATTGTGTGGCGGAGAGTTATGCGGAGGAGAGAGAAATGTGTAAGAAATGTTGTGAACTACAAATTCTTTACCAGAAGGGAAAGTGGAAGTTTTAATTGGAACGGACGAAAAAGGAAAGTTGGAAGTTTATTTAGGAACGGAGGGAGTACTAAACATGAGGCAGGGTTTGGTTTGGACTGGCCTTCCTTACCACAACATATTAGAGGTGGGCAAATCAGTTTACGGTTCGTTTTTTCGGTTTCGGTTCGGTTTCGGTTTATTCGATTCAGAAGAATTTGTACCAAACTAAAACATTTTGTTTTTCGATTTGGTTTCAGTTCGATTTCGGTTCGGCTCGGTTTGAAGTTCGGTTTACAATAGTGAAAATTATTAGGTTCAATTTAGTTCAATTTGATTTGGTTTCTTATGTTTATTATTTTATTTGATCAAGTTCTATATTTTAGAATTAGAAATGAAAGTAGTAGTTCATCTCATCTTCTTTTGTTTATTATTCAAATTAAATGTAAAACAAGATAAAAGATAGAAAAAGAAATAATAAATATTACTACGTATAAATTAAAACTTCAAACATCTTTTCAATCACTACAAAAAGATTCACTTCTCACAAAAAATAAATTCATAGTTGATTAGCATTTATAATATCACATAAAATATTCAAAGAAATCTAAATCAGTCAGTGGTACAAATGTTGTAATATTCACAATTTTATTTAAATGAATCATGTAAAAAATATTAATGCAATGTTCTATTGTTACCGACAAATATCTTTTCATAGATGTAGATAGTACAAAACATAACAAATGCAAATATGTTGTATTAGCTAACTTTGTTATAATGAATGAATGAAATGTGCTAAAGTTAAAATGGTATATGCTAAATTCGTATTTTTCATGTCTAAATAATTTATTTATATCATGCGGATAAAGAGTGAACAAATTACTTAAATTTGGGGTGGACTGGTGATGAAACGGTTAGCAACACAAGAGGTGGGGGGGGGGGGGGGGGGTGAATTGTGTGTGTGTGGAACCGTGGCAGTTTTTCGCACAGTTCTAGTGTGGGGTCCAGGGAATTACGAAATAGTAAAGTGCACAAGGATTTAACGAGGAAAAATCCCTTGGCTCAAAGGGATTAAAAAACCTCGACCTCCCTCGGAGGAATTTGAACAACTCCACTAAAAAGTCTTTGAATGATTACAAGGGAAACTCTCCTAGTCTACCCTTGAGCCACCCCAACTCTATCCTCTCTAGGAAGAGTTATGCATCTCTACCTTGCGGGTAGAGAGCCTCTCCGCTTTACAACAAAGCTCTCACAACACACTAATCAACCCGAGGATGCTACACTTAGCCAATCCTCAAAAACCCAATTACAATATGAAGAAGGGAAAAAGAACTCTGTCTGGAACTCCGTGAGCAGGTTCAGGTGCCTTGGACTTAGTAAATATTCTCGTGTATATTTCTCAATAGAAGCTCGGTCAAGCACACTTCATTTCTCTTTTGGCTTCTTCGTTTATATAGCTGTCTTGGAGTAGTTCGTTGGGCAGCCTTCCATAAATAATCGATCTTAAAACTTGTGGTCTTGCCTTGATACTTTTGAATCACTTTCCTTTTATTTTGAGCACCATAACTCTCGGATATTGTCATCATTAATATCAGTCCATATAAAAGGATGGATCACATATATTATAATCGAGCAATCACCTTTTATTAAAATAGTTTTAGTGGAAGGTAGCAATGATTACTTAGCAAATATAGATATGCATGGGCAACGTGTAATATTTCAAATGTAACTTTCCTTTTACACATATAGCTAATGATCACCTTTTTCAAACCAAAGGAGTACAGATCATGCTACGGTCACAAAGTAATTAAAAACAAGGATTCCTTTCCATAAAGGTTAACTTATCAATATATACAAGCAAGCTTAATTATTGCCAAGTAAATCATGATTCTTTGCTCCACAAATATTCATTTGATATTCAAATAAAGAATGACTTTTCAAATTGTAAGGCAATAAAATATTTGTTAATCAATTACAAGCATGCTACGTATATAGCCAATAAAATATGGATCAAGCACTCACATTAAGTAAAGATACTTTCCATAAAGTATTTAAACAATATTTAATGAGTGGATGTCTAGTCAACTATGGAAAGATAATAACCACCCAAATAAGTACTCATATAACCAAAATACGTATATATAGAGTGGACATGCATAGAGAGATACTTTTGCTTAAAATAATATTCTTGACAAATATAAGCACTCATATAAGGAAAGTATATTAATTGAAAATCAAGTAGGTGCAATTAATATTAATTCAAATCATATCACGGAACTAGAAATGGTTCTGCATTAGTTCCACCTGCATGGTTAGTCAACAACACACTAATAATACCCATTTGGTCTTGAGGATAGTTCTGTCCTTGTTCCGTAAGGAACTGTGAGCGGTTCTGTCCGCGATTTCACCTGCATGGTTAGTCATCAACAAAACAACATACTCAACAACTGGGATCCAGTACCTGTCTACCTCCACCCTTGATTATTGATGTAATCATATTTAATTTACATTAAATTTTTGGGAAAAAATCCACTTTTGGTCCTGTGACTATTATATCACTTCCACATTTAGTCTCTTACTTTCTTATTATCCACATTTAGTCCGTGACCATTATCCCGTCATCACTCCCCGTCCTTTCGGCCAAAATTCCGGTAAATTTAATGCAGATTTTATGTATGAAAAACCAAATTTAATGCAAAGAGTGATGAAAAACACAACCTTATATAAAATTCAATGTAAAGATTGATTCTGAGGTTGATAAGTGGACTAAATTTGCCGGAATTTTGGCCCGAAGGACGAGGGGTGGTAAGGGGATAATGGTCACGGATTAAATGTGGATAATCTGAAAGTAAGGGACTAAATGTGGAAGTGGTATAATAGTCATGAGACCT